GGCCGCGGGGGCGCCGCCTCCAGGGTGCTGCTGGTCATCGACGAGCCGCACACCGACTGGTAAGCCACTGCCGTGGACGTCTCCCGTGGGCCTGGGTCCCCCAGATCGTTCCTCTGCAAATGAGCAATTATCGAGCGCCGCTTGTGTGCCTGGCACCTGCCCTCTCACCTAAATCTTTTTCCTTTAAGTTATTAAGCTGGATGCTTCCTCTGTGCCCCGCCCTTGTCGCCCCCCCTTCGCCCCTTAAACCTTGATGGATCCAGGGAGCAATTATCGGGCACCTGCTGTGTACCTGTTCCCTACTCCGCCTCCCCCAAAAGTCTTTGGCTTCAGTGTATCCTATGAGCCTTCAAAAACCGAACGTGTCCTGCCTACCCTTCCTAACCCTTGCCCCATAGGCCTTGTCCTCTAATGGATCTTGTGAGCACTTATCTAGTACCTGCAGTATGCGTCATCCAAGAGCCCTTCCCCAAGGCCTTCGATTTCAATGAACTTTGTGAGCATTTTTTGAGAGCCTGATACTGTCCTGTTGTCCTCAACCCTTGCCCTAAGGCCTTCTCTAATGGGTCTTGTGAGCATGTGTCCAGTCTATGCTATGTGTCCCACCCACCCCAGCTCCGTCCTTAAAGCCCTTCTAAACTCTTTAGTAAACATTGAGTACCTGCTGTGTATCCCACCCCAGCTTTTCTCCAAAAGCTTTGCCTTTCATGGATCCTGTGAGTTTTGATTGGATGCCTTCTCTGTGCCCCAACTCCAAGCTCTCTCCCTGAGGACCTTTTCTCCAAAGGATCTAGGAAGCATTTGTTAAGTGCCTGACACGTGCCCCACCTCCAAACCCCTTCTCAAACAAATCATTTTCCTCCAGTGAGTTCCATGAGCGGTTTTGTGTGTGACTCATCTTCAGACTGTCTCCTCAAAGACCTTTCCCTACAGTGTGTCTAGAAAACATTTATTGAGTGCCTCTTGTATCCCCCGTTCTCCAGCTACTTCTTCAAAGACCTTTCCTTTGGTGGATCCATCTAGCATTTATCAACTGCCTGCAGTGTGAGCCTTCTCTAAAAGTTCTTTCCTCCAGTGTATTCAGCAAGCATGCATTGAGTGGTGCCTGCTGTATACCCCACCCTCAAACCCTTTCTCCAATACCCTTTCCTCCGGTGGCTTCAGTCTGCATGTGTTGAGCACTTTCTGCATGACACAACCTGAGACCCCTCCATAAAGGCCTGTGCCTCCAGTTAATACAGTGCTCAGATATCTTACACTTGCTGTGTGTACCATTCCAGTCACTCTTTCCAAAGACTTTTTCTTTTAATCACTCCTTGGAGTATTTATGGAGCACCTACTGTGTACCTGATTGTGTGCCTTCTTCACAAAAGCCTTTTCTCTTATGGATGAAGAACGAAGCTCCCATAGATCAACTTTCTGCACTCCTATTTCCCCTCCCCAGAGGGCTTTTCCTTCAAGGATGCAGTGAGCATTGATCAGGTGATTATATGTCCATCCCCAGCCCCACTCCCCAAAGGCCTTTTCTTCTAGTGGATCCAGTGAGTATTTATTCCTTGTCTGCCATGTGCTCCATTCTAATCATCCTCCCCCAAAGACCTTTTCCTTCAATGGCTCCCCTGAGCATTTATGGAGTGCCTTCTGTGTGTTCTGTATATTCACACCTCCTTCCCAGAATTGTTTTCTTAACAGTAGCTCCAATGAGCACATATGCAGGACCTGTTGTTTTGGGGAGTACGTTCTTCTTCCTTACCCCTAGGAGAGCCTGCTCCAATCACAAGGCCTCTCCCAAGGTCCTTTCCTGTGATAAATCCAGAGTTGAGTTTATAATGATCACCCCTTTCCCACTCCCTTCAGTACCCCTAGGATTCCCTCTACCAACTTTAATTCCATCCCCCCAAAGGGCTTTTAGTCTATTTAAATAACACTTATTTAAGTAAAAACTTTTACTTAATAGTTTTACTGTTTACTTAATTTACTACATTTACTAAATAAATTTAGTAAATTTACTAAGTTTACTGTTTACTTAATAGTTTTACTATTTAAGTAAACACTTACTGAGCACTTACCATGTAAGTCACTTTCAACTTCCTATTTCCAAGTCTCTAGAAATCTCTGCCCCTGCCTCAAGAGCTCTCTCTCCAGGGTTCTACTTCAGCCTAAATGTATTGAGTACCAGCTGTTTACTGGTCAGATTACCTCTCCCCCAGGAGCCTTTACCCAGTAGTAGCCTTTCTCTCTATTCAGAGCAATTTATTCATTCTACAGATATTTATTGAATCATTTCCATGAAAGTGTGGGAGGCATTTATTATTCACCATAATATACTAGGAATAACCCTTCTTCAGCTCCCCTTCCTTCTTTCTTTTCTAAATGCAGGCGTGCTTGAAATCCTCAATTGCCAGCTTGCCTTGCTATACCTTTTCCTCCACGCAACCCCACAATCATTTAATGAGCATTTATCGTATACTACTAAGAACCTTGCATTAAATGCCTCTTATCCCCTTCTTGCAGTTCTAATTTCCCCTTCAACAATCTCCATCCTGCCTTTTACACAACACAATCCTGAAAGCTCGCAATGTGTGCTGTTTTCCATTTATTCTAGCTAGGCCTCTTCCTCCACTTAGTAGCCATCTCCCCAGCTGCCTTTTTCTTCCCGAATTAGTCCAGAAAACACTTATTAATCTCTTACTCTATTATTTTCAAACAGCCACATTATCATCTCTGCAGCAGGCTTCTCTGCTTTTTTCTCTATCAATCTGTAAAGCATTTATGGAGCACGTGCTGTAATTCCTTCACCAACGTCCACTCACCAACGTGTTATCTTCCTGGTTAAGTTTGCTCCATTGAAGTCAGCAAACATCAATGAGACCTCTGCTGGATGTAGGTAACCACCCTCCTTTAGACTTCCCGTCTCCACTCCAGCCCTCCACACAGGTCCTTCGCGGCTGCTTCCTTCTTTCCGTCAAGCATTTATTATCTATGGAATACTGACAAGTTCCTTCCCCTTTCCATAATCACAAATCCAATGTTTTCCATTTTTTCTTTGTCCAGAAAACATTTATTGAGCACCTGCTGAATTCAGTGAACAATCCATCCCTTCCCCTTCTGCATCTCAGAAGCCCCCCTTTATCCCAGCATCCCTTCCAGTCTTTTCTTCCAGGCAATCTAACAAATATTTATTTACTGTCTACTATATGTGGGGTGGGGTGGACAAAGGGAGAGAGCCTATGTATGTACGCCAGGCTCAGTATGGGGAACAGAGATTTGTTTCACCAACTTGCAGACACTCAGAACCACACAAGCTTCAGGGATTTCAGCCCCGAATAAAGGAGGAGTTGTACAAATGCTGTGATGGAATGTACACCCAAATACAGTCTGACGCCTTTCCCACCAAACCTCACCACCCTCATTCCTTCCTGGGTCTCAATTCCTCTGTGGTTTAAAGTTGAAAACTCTAAGTTGAGACTCATCTCCCCCATTTTGTGGATAATTTTGTCCTGTGTTTTTCTCCCTCTTTTTTTTTTTTTTTTTTTGAAACGGAGTCTTGCTCTGTCGCCCAGGCTGGAGTGTACTGGCGAGATCTCAGCTCACTGCAACCTGCGCCTCCCGAGTTCAAGCGAGCCTCCTGAGTAGCTGGGACTACAGGTGCGTGCCATCATGCCTGGCTAATTTTTGTATTTTTAGTAGAGATGGGGTTTCACCATGTTGGTCAGGCTGGTCTCGAACTCCTGACCTCGTGATCCACCTGCCTCGGCCTCCCAGAGTGCTGGGATTACAGGCGTGAGCCACCGGGCCCGGCTGTCCAGTGTTTCTCAAACTATGGGTCACGTATTGGCTTATGACCAACATTTCACTTTCTCCATGAAGTAGGATAAATAAAAATAGAGAATAACAGAGCATATTGCACATAGTAAATGAAGTTGTTGCTTAGCAAAACATATAATGTTATTCCATTAAGATATACAATCTATAATGTATATTATATATGACATACAGTATATAATACGACTTTACAGTACATAATACATCTACATGTATATGTTCTTCTTCATGAAATGAAATAAAATAGCGTAGAAAAATCAGAATACATTACCCATAGTAAAGATAATTATCTATTGAAACCTAAATTCCAATTATGCATATGTATTTATATACATTCTAAATACATATACACATAATATATAATATACAACATTTTATATGTTACATAATATATAAGACATTCTATATCCTCATATTTGCTGTACAACATATGTGTCTTACGTAATATATATTACATATATAGGATGGGTTATTATGCAAATACATATATAGTGGGTTGTATAAGCTTTATTTCTTACTGTGGCTTCTTTTCTCAGATAGATTTCCCTGGAAGCAGACCCCACGACTCTGAGATTTGCGTGCAGGAGATTTACTGGGGAGAGTGCTTGGGAATAACACCTGTGGGGGAGGTGACGAGGGAAGCAGGATTGTGCAGAGGGAAAAGTTGAGCTGTGATGCAACCACAACAGAGGACTCAGCCAATCCTCTGGGGAGCTCTGGCACTGGAAGGACCCTTCAGAGTTGTCCCAGTTGAAGCGGGGTGGCCAGGCTTTGAATTCCTACGTCAGTCATTGGCTGTAGCCTGCCCCCTGGGAGGAGGCATAATCTTGGGTGAGGCAAATCCCTGTTGCAGAGGCCAGTGCCCAGTGAGGGACACCTGTGAGCCATCAGCAGTAGATAATTCCAGAAGCTGGGGATAGATGCAAAGGCCTGGAGCAAGGAGGTAAGGATCTGAGGAGAGCATATAGTCCACACCTTGCACTGCTCTGATCCACTTCCTTCTTATAGTAAGTTCACCCCATTGGGGAATGGCATTTCCACAATTCTAATCGGTCTTGTTTTCTCAGGGACACTTGAAAGAGCACAGTAGTGAGATGAGCCATAGTCTCTGCTGCTGCAGTTGATTTCAATGTCACAAATGATATTCATCCTCTCCTTCCTCTACTGCACATTCTAGATTCCCCCCCACCCTCAGCTAGCACCTCTCTTGGTCTGGGTGGCTCCCATCCTGCAG